GGCTATGATCAAAGAGTTAAAAATGTGTGAAGCCAGGATTTAAACCTAAGAACTATCAGAATCCCTGGAACAAAGTAGATAATTAATAAATAAATGTTGAACAAATTAATGGTGACACAGAGGAATCAACGGCTTTCTCTCTGACTTTAGAGCCACTATTCTTTACAATGTGGTACTAATTTCACTTAATATTGAAAGTCATCTCAAATGAGATTTGAAGGAATAAAACTTGGCAAAGATTCACAGAATCATAGAATCTTGGAATTGGACTACATACAGCTTAAATTCATCTAATTTAAGAACTCAGGCAATTATTTCTTTGTTGCCAATTTTATTCCTAAGAACTTTCAGGGCATTTAATATTTGACCTCTTTCCACAGCATTTTGTCAAATTGTCATTTAGTCAATAAAACTACAAGCCAAATCAAGATTTTAAAAACAAAACATCAGAAGATTGATAAATGACATAGTGCACACTCTAGCCAGTCCATGTTTATATATTGCTACTGCAACATAACCATTCACCAGTGCCAAATGTGTGGAAATAATCCAACCTTCCACACGAATCTGTCCCACAGGCCCATAATGTTACAAAGGAAATAAGTTACCTTTAATCTCTTTTCTTTTTCTGATGTGATGTTCCTGATGAAGGTGAGTTCATTTTGAGAAAATGCAAATAAAACTATCCAAGAGAAGAAACTCAAAAACGACCACATATGACCATCATGATAATAAGCAGGGTATGGAAATCTCTGAGCCAAAATGCTGGCATTATCAAACATCCTTTCTGCCTCTCTTCCATTGTGATATATCATGATGGCCTTATCTAAGGAATGCTGCACAATCAGGAACCCTTCTTTGATGTACCCTAAATGAGAAAAAAGATTGTCAAGATCGTTTTACTAAGAAATAGCTAGGCAAACAAAGGAGGCAATCCAGGTAATTTAAAACTCTTATCTCAGATAATAAAACAATTTCATAAATACCAACTATGATTTGTGATAAAACATATAATAAATATACAAACTAAAATATGACATGAAAGTGATACAGTTGCTTTATGTAAACATATCAGCCAAATTAAATGAGAATTCAAGAAAATATTAGACTGACCAATTGCTATAGTCTGAATGTATCTGTCCCTCCAGAATTTATATGTTGGAAACTAATATCCAATGTCATAGTGTTAAGGGGTGGAGCCTTTTGGGAAGTGATTAAGTCATGACCACCAAACCCTCATGAATAGGATTAATGCTCTTACAAGAGGTTGAAGGGAGTGTCCAAGTCCCTTTTCCTGTTGACCCTTTTGCCATGTGAGGACACAGTGTTAGTCACTTCCAGAGGACAAAGCAATGGGTGCCATCTTGGAAGCAGAGAGGAAACCCTTACCAGACACTGAATCTCTCAGCATCTTGATCTTTGACTTACCAGCTTCCAGAACTGTGAGAAATAAATTCCTATTACTTTTAAATTACCCAGTCTGTGGTATGTT